GTTTTTATATCACCTGATTTTTGAAAAATTAAATTTGGTCCCTAATTTTTGAATTTGAAACTTTAAACCGTGTTATTTCCTCTTATATGGTCTTTGCTAGAATTAGGCCCAAAGCATTTAAGAACTTTAGCCCAATTAATACCCCAAAAATGTGGTGGTTCGTTCGTTAAAATATATCGACTACGGTCTACATTTCACGCTTCTCTCTCTCTGTCTCTCAGGTAACCTTTTTCTCACACACGCTACGAGCTTGTTCTTGCACAAGTTTAAATTGAAATTTATTAGCTTTTCTAGATTTCTTATGGCTTTGAGTTGATTTTAGATTTAGTTCGTACGGATTGGGGTTGGTGATTGAAAGATTGACCTCGAGTGGAAATCTAGGGTTGGGAATCTGGATTTTTATTTTCTATCTATCGGATTTTGCACGTCTTTTGAACAATTTCAAATAATAAATTTTCATTTTCTGATCTATGATAAAAAGCATTTGATTTTAATGTTTTTATTATAGATTGTTAAACTATCGACTTTATGACTTGAACGTTTGGGTTAATTATTCCCTATTCGTGTTTGTTCAATTTTCTTTATGTAAGCAATACTAGATCTAATTTTTAGTTTATATAATATTTTTGTGGCCAATTTACACTGATTTTATCTCGAAGCTCACTGCAAAGCTCTTGATTTATCAAAATTAAGTATGTAATATATTGAAGAGCATGGTTTTATGCCTATATGAATTCAGCACCTTTAATGGTTAAAGATTTCAAGCTGGAAGTTGTTTATGTAATTGTCTGTGTGGTGACTATGTCGGTTTGTACTGTGGAGAGGACATACCATTTTTCTGGATTCGTTGCACATGCATTGTGAAGTCATTATAGAAGTTCAGTACTGCTTCGTGTTTACTTTTTCCTTAATAAACATTCACCTTCCTCTCTCTGTTTTCTTTGCATCTGGCGGAAGAGAAATCTAAAGTTATTGTTTAGTGATCTTGATATGGTGTGTTTGCTTGATCTTGTGGTGTAAATTAACACCCTTTAGGATTGACATCTAATTGGGCCCCAATATTGGCAACTGTTGCAAAATACACTGAATTTTTTGTCAAATCAACATTTACATACAATATTTCAAGTTGCGATTACTGATTAGAAGTAAAATTTATATGTTGTTTAAAATTTGAGGGTCATATTAATTTACACTGGGAAAGGAATGATGAATATTTTAGGGTCATATTAATTTGTGTGTCTTTGTATTGTGATTCGATGAGTGGAATGAAGCTTGATTTAAAAACGAAATCCGAGGCGTGAATTTTAAGCAGGTTTAAGAGGCTTGGGCCTCTACTGATTGATGCATAAGCGTCAGAGTGCACGCCTCAGTCTCATCTTTGTTATCTCTTCATTTACTTTTTCTGGTTGCTGGTCAACTGCTTCTCAGTCTCATCTTTTCACCTTTCTTCTTCTTCGACTTAACTTATGTTTCAGAAACAGACAAGCATGCTTTTATCCACTATGCATATATGCATGTACTCTCTTTTCAGCAATGGTATTAGTTGACTGAAGTTTGCTTTGTATTATCTGTTACTTTTTCCTCATGATTATGAAACTATGTGCTATCGTAACTGCAAAAAACAAGGTTTAAGATGAAATCTGAAACTTGTGTTTATTGTTTTCTTATAACTGCAATTGTCTTTTCTTCCACACTTTCACTGTTTAATTTTACTACTTTATTAATTTATTCTGTGTTTTTTTTTCAAGTTACAATTTAAATTGCTTTATTTTGTAGTATATTTTAAATTTGGTTTATTACTGGCTTATTTTGTAATTGTATTTTTTATTTTATTTTATTTTTTATGGTGAGGCTTACGCTCGTCTCACAGAATGCCCCTATACCCAATTCGCATTTTAAACACTAGATTGAAGAGTATGTTATTAAAACTGAGTAACTTCAGAACTGATAAGTGGAGAGTGGTTCCCAATTTTCTGAAAAGTATGTTATTAATTAATTTGAAGTGAAGTTGTTAGTTTTTTTTTCCAACCACAATTACCTTGGTCATTAGAGAGCTCTAAAGAATTGGTGTTTGAGCAACTTCAGAAATTTATTGACTCAAGCATCATAACTTGTGCCTCCCATCTTGTAATATATTTGTCAGTAGTTACATAGTTGTAATTTGGTGTTTGGGGGGGGGGGGGGGGGGGGGGGGGGGGGGGGGGGGGGGGGGGGGGGGGGGGGGGGNCTAGTGTTCTATTTCATCTGATGTTTTGTAGGGTTATAAAAGGGATAGAGTGCAAAGTTTTTTTTATGAATTCCAATTTGAATATAAGTATTTATGGAAGAATCAGTGATTGAAAACAATATGGGCATATAGATTACTAAAATCACGAGGTAATATTATATTTTTTAGTATTTCAAAGAAATAAATGATTTAACTATTAACAAGAGTTCCACGGGCACTTCTTCTGAGTTCAAAAAGAAAGTGTAAACCTCACTGATTTAATGCCTGAACAGTGATATGAAATTAGTTGATAAAGCATAAATAGTTTTTCTAAAATTAGAAACCCAACAGTAAATGTGCAATGCTGACTTTTTGTCGGATGTTTTTTCACCCAAAGAATGAATTGATTATTGGAATTCCATAGAAAATTTTATATAAAGAGAGAGAAAGGACTCCTTACACAGTTGTTTCGGTCTTTTACTAGCTGCTTTAAATTAGTTTTGTTCAGTGGAACTTGTGAATTGTTTTCAATTATAATAAAGTAGAAAGTTTTATTTGCAGAATTTGTAGACTTCTAGCAAGAAGTTAAATGGCTGGCAGTAGGATTGCCCACGCCACTTTGAAAGGACCAAGTGTGGTGAAGGAGATAGTAATTGGAATTGTGCTTGGTTGTGCAGCAGGTAGTGTATGGAAAATGCATCATTGGAACGAGCAGAGAAAAGTTCGTACATTTTATGACTTGTTGGATAAAGGCGAGATAACCGTGGTTGCTGCAGAAGAATAAATATTTGACAGCTATTCTTGATTATTGACGCCATTATTAGTGTTTGACTAATTGCGTCTGTCAGTTTACTCTTAAATCGGACGAGCTCATTTGGCTTGGATTTCAAAAATTCAATGAAATAAAGTTGTACCGAACTTTGTGGATTGAAAATTTTATTTTGTCGTGAATTAAAATTTTTTGGGTTTTTGTTTTCTTACATTAATCTTGAACCATTGAGTAGCTGAGTAGTTCATGTTCTTTAGGGTTTGTGGTCTTTTTGTGGCCGTTTCTTTGAACAAAAGGGTATAATGATCTTTGTGTTCTGAGCCCTAAATAATAATCAAATCCTTTCTTGTTGGTGTTTTATAGTCTTTGTGACTTTGCATTTTCTGCTTCCGTTTGTGTTTGGCTCTACAATTAATACCTGTTGTTCATGTACTATATATTATAATGTCCCTTTTCCCCCTTAGTTGCATTTCTTTGCCATTAGGCTTCTCTGTCTCTCTGTGTGTGTGTGCGCGTGTGTGTTTAAGCCTTTAGGCATACAACTGATCTTTCTCTCTAGTTACATTGCCTATTGGCACTTTATATTGTCAGGTAGTTTTGAAGTAATGCTATCAAGTGGACTATCATGGTATACTTGACAGTAAATAGAAGAAGAATAGTAAACTTGTATTAAATCTTAAAATATATAGGTTGCCCTTGGGTGAAAATGACTAGCACTTCTTTTTGAAACATGTAAAGGAATTCAGTTGCATGCACACGTGTGCAATCATATATGCATATACATATACATACACATACCTATCTCGTATGCGTATATACTGTGTATGGTACCAGTGCATTTATGGGACGTGTACTTGCGTTGATAGATGGCCTGGGTAACAAAGTCACAAAGGTATGCAGAATTACAGTGTTGTGGGAACTGCATTGTACTTGTGATTTTGGTATGTTCATAGATGACCTCGAAACAATCTCGCAAAGGTATTCAGAATTAAAATGTTGAGGGAATTATATGTACTTGTGATTTTGGCGGCTCTGTATCCTTGTTGAGCTCATTTATTTACCTACCATAGTAATAACTAAAATTTTCATTATTGGGGAGGTTTCTGCTTGCATCTGGCTTTACATGGGTTAAAGGAAGCTTGTGGAGGTCATTATTTATAATTATTATTTTTAACTTGAATGCACTCACTTCATGTAATTTCAGTTCACGTATATAGTGGATACTGTAAGATCTTTGCGTTCAAAATCATTGAAATTTTGAATTACCTTTTCGATTGGTGCCCATTACAAGGTTCCGGATGATCTATTAGAGGAAGCCAAATCAGCAGCAAAAGCTGCACTCGAAGAAATGGATGCAGATTAGTGGCTTTGTCCTGATCGTGCCTTTCTCTTTTGTGAACATTTTTCTGCTTTTTTGAAATTATTTTATAGGCCCTCAAATTGAAACCCGCCCCCCCAACCTCCAAAACACACTCCCTCCTTAGTCCATACATTATTGCACAGATAATGAGGGGGGTGGTGTTTGGTTGAGGGTGAGGTGGGTGGACAATCCTGGTTGGATAAAATGAAAATGTCCATCTTATTGAAATATGTTAGTGATAGTTGTTCAACATTTAAGTCATATCTCATCTTATTATTTAAGTCATATTTGTTCAAAAATTATTGAGAGACCAATTATTTGTAGGATCAGAAAATAATAAAAAAAATGCATTGAAATTGAGGTTGGCACCGTTAACGGCTAGTTGAGAAGAGGACTCTCCAACGGTTAGTATAGTAGGATGTGCTAACCCGCCGACAACTTTGAATTGTACAGCACAGTTTGTGGGGCCCATATCCGACCAATTTCAGATTAGAACTCCTAAGTCCTACCTCCCTCTTTGCAAATAAGTCCATGTTTGTTTATCATTATTTTAAAAAAATTATTTACTACAGTAAAATTCTACAATAAGATTTACCATTACATATTCATCCAATAAAATATTATACATACAAATCAATAGAGTTACTTTATTTTTCAACCACACATTCTCTAAAAAACACTATTCAATACTCTATTTTTCTCCCAATAATGGGAGACAAACACACTAATGTATCAAATTTTCGTACCATATTGTTTTTTCATGAAGATTTCCTACCTTTTTAAGTTTTAATAAAGAAAAATTATCACTAGGTATTTAATTTAGGATAAAGATATTTGTACAGAAAAATATCTACCGAATTGTTTACCCCCTCTCACATGCAAACGGGTCCTTCGTGAATAAAAAAATCTCATGATGTGATCCCCACGCCCTATTGTGAGTAGTCGGTAAAAGATTATGTAAAAAAATTCGGTACATGAAGTATAGTCCTTTAATTTATTGTTTTAATAGCAAGTCGACTTTTAATCCTTCATTATATTTCTACAATTTGTCTCTAATTTTGGAAATTTGTCTTAATTTCCTTCCTTCAAATGCTCTACTTCATTAAATTAGGTTTTTTTTATAACTTGGTTATAGCTTACGGAAATTTTAATTGAGACGTTTTTTTTATTAACGTTAGGCAAGAATTTGATAAAGATTTGGACGGTTATTGTTATTGGTGACTGATTGTGTAACATAATGAAAGTTCAATAATCAATTTACTCTTTTTTAAAGCTCGAGACTAACTCGCTATTAGGAAATAGGTTAGGGATGAATAATGCAATTTTTCTTTGTTAAAATCAAACATATATATCTGAATATATAGTAATTACGGCATACTATTATACTATTTGACAAATTAGAATTACATCGGAGGGCACAGTCTTTCCAGAATATTTAGCAATTATTTCTATTTGTTGCACCACATTTTAAATATGACGAATATTTATAATTTTTGCTCGTTATATAGCACCCGTGTCTTCAAATTTTTGAATAGAAATTTAATGGGCATTATTTCGAAAAAATGATGTTTTGATTTTTGAATAGTGATTTTTTTTTTTGAGAAGTTGAAAAATTAAAGGGTTTATGTGTAAAATAATTTATTGCGTGAATGCGATTGAAGACGAGTATCCGAATTAAGGAGTTTTGTTTTAAAGGGATCAAACAAGGATTTAATCTGCCGACAAGTGGCTCCCACTATAACAAATCTGCTTATTTTATTTTTTCGACTTTGCATATTTTAACAAATCTGCATATTTTATTTAAGAAATTTGCGATTATTATATTGACGCACAATTTGAATTTACACAAATAGTGGAGCCACACACCGTTAAACACAATTTGAATTTACACATGATGTCAAACTTGATGTCAAGAAAATAATGTACAAAAGGCTTTATTCTAATAAAATAAGTTGAAAAAGATAGCACTTCGACTATATTCTTATTTTATTATTTATTTTTACCTCAAATGCAAATGTTTTTCTCCCTGCTATTATTATTTGATTATAAAAAGGAAATTAGAATCTCTTTGTAACGGTCATATCCAACTAGGGCTCAAAATTCAAATTTGGAGGTGGCAATATCAACTCCCTGTAAAAAGAAGAATTGAACCTCTCAATACCTATATATTCTATGTATATGCACCTCCCTCTCCCTCTCCCTCTCCCTCTCTATCTCTCTCTCTCTTCCTCTCTCTCTCGTTGGCGCATTTTATAATCGATTTCTCAATCATTTGCCAAAAAGGGAGGAGAGATCGGGCTCTGAAATTTTTAATTATTATTATTTTTTTGCATTAGCTGAGTCTGATAATACTAACATTTCAAAGATAGTGACTGTTTCAGAAAAAGAAAAAAAGTGAAAGCAAAGAAAAAAAGTGGCCCTTCTTCTACATCACATCCCACTAAGTTTTCAGTCCATTTGCTCGCTCTCTCTGTCAATCAGAAGGTGAAATCTTCATCTGGATTTTAATTAATATTTTTTGTTGACAGTGCATTTTTGTAATGTTTTTAATTTAGAATTTCTGTAAACATTTTCAAGATTTTTGAAATTTAATCGCTCGCTCTTTATGTCACTCTAGAGGTAATTTTGTTCATCGGGTTTTAATTTTTTTTTGGTTGAAAGTACATTTTTGCAGTGCTTGTAATTTTAAATTTCTGGATGCATTTTTGTGAATTCTTGAAATTTCATTCGAAGTGAGCTTACTGATCTTTTCTTTGTTTCTTGATTGTGTTTTTCGAAAAAAGTTCTCTTAAATTGATTTCTTATTTGTGGAATTGAATGGAAGTTTTCTTTGGTGCAATTTTAGGGTTAAACTCGTTTCTGATTTGAAAAGTGCCTTTTTTCCTATTTGTGTTCGTGTAAAGTTCTTTAATTTGATGCTCAGATTTATTGATTTGAATCTTTTTGTCATGATATTCCCTTGAAAGATCAGATTTCACAGTGTGTATGTGAACAAATGAATTTCTATATATATATATTGGTTAAGGGAAACTATTGGCTAAGTTTTTCTAAATAGCTAATGTCGCTTTTATTAGATTTCTTGATTGGGGGCTGATGAGTTCTTGTGAGTCAGTTAAATTGTTTTTGACATGTTTTATTCTTCATGTGCTTGTTCTTTTGAAACTTGTGTCATTGTTGTCTGGAATTTTGCCCTCACCTTATCAAAAAAACATAACTGCCTCTGCAGTGGTAATCTAAACTACATTTGGTAAGTATTAGATTTTTCGAGGGCAGAATTGTTTGTAAAGTCAGCCATAGAAGGTGGGAGTTTCAATTTAGGAGATCAGATATAATGTTAAAGGGTTTTGGTAACTGAGGATTCGGTTTGTGTGATGATCAATTTGGCTGATTTTTTATTTTTTTTTGCCTTTGCTATGCAATAGAGATCCATAGCTTGAATATCTGTCAATACAAACTTAAAAATGAATCGATGAGTTAGTTGTGGCTCATCACTATTAAGTCATTTCCAATGTTGACATTTCTTACTTATCTACTTTTTGGTGACAACCTAATCTTTAGTTCTAATTCTATTATCTTGCAGTGATATTCTATTGTGACTGTTATTAGGTCCGTGGAACTACTAGAACAGTAACTTTGTAAAGCAGGCTGAAAGTACTGTTTTCTTCTTGTCAGCATAGTTATTGGCATTTCAGAAGCTTCAAGTTGACCTACCATGGTAATGTATCTGTCACTCTGGATATTTTACGTGCCACAATTTTTCATTTTTTACCTATAAAACTATGTCTAGTGGATGGGTTTTTTGCAACAAGAACTCAACTTAAAGATGAAGTTCAGAATTTTTGAAACATATTACGAGTCTTACATGTTTGGTTGGTAAGTTGGAGATATTTTTGACTTCTAAACTGATACAATGAGCATGAACTTGATCGCAATTTACGCTTTAATATTAAAAAAGATACCATTTTTCTTTTTCAATGCAATAATTCCTAATTACAGACATTATGGAATATGGGATTCATATTTTCATAGAAACTGAAGTTAGGTTTTATTGTGTTTGATTTGGTATTTTTTTGGTAGATTTCATTATGCATTTGTAATGATTTCAGATCTTTACATATTTCCTCTCGTTGATATAGGCAACAAATGAAAATCTTCCTCCAAACGTAATAAAACAGCTGGCAAGAGAATTGAAGAATCTCGATGAAACACCACCAGAGGGAATTAAAGTAGTGGTGAATGATGATAACTTTTCAGTTATATATGCTGATATTGAAGGCCCAGGTAATATTTCTTTTCTTATTACTTTTCTGGTTTTCTAACATCAATTTCTTTTAGTGATTGTACATCTCTAACCTTGCAGCTGGGACTCCGTACGAAAATGGTATCTTCCGAATGAAGTTGATATTGTCTCATGATTTCCCACAATCCCCTCCAAAAGGTTTGTGAAACTTCTGAACTTACTATAGTTTCCTATTAGATTGAGACGGTTTTAAATTTAAATAATGGGGGTTTGTTAGAGATGAAAAGTTGTTATCTCTGAGTTCATTTTTCTTCATTTTTCTTATCATATTTACTTCTGAGTCTTATTTTATCTTGTTAACTGCAAATGATATAACAATTATCACCTATTTTTATTCGATCTATTCTCATTTTAGGCTACTTTTTGACCAAGATTTTTCATCCAAATATTGCTACCAATGGTGAGATTTGTGTTAATGCCTTGAAAAGAGATTGGAATCCAAGTCTTGGCTTACGGCATGTTTTAATTGTAAGTTCTGTCAATATTTATGAGCTCTCCCAAAATCGAAGCTTTCTTCTTCGTGTATTCACATTCCAGACATACTTTGCTAAACTTTTTTCATGAAATCTTTTTCATTGGCAGGTGATAAGATGCTTATTAATTGAACCGTTTCCAGAATCAGCTTTAAATGAGCAAGCTGGCAAGATGCTGCTCGAAAATTATGAGGAGTATGCAAGACATGCAAGGTGAGTCCTTCCACAGTATAGTTGCTCTGTTTTCTATTAAACATTTGCATGTGTGGAGTAGAGTATTGCAGTATCTGATTCATGTATTGTCGAACTCACGACCTACTTTATAGTAGCATTAACTTTGCTTTGGTCTGTCCAGTTCTG